GATAGTGCCAGTGGTAGGTACCCTTTTGTTTTAATTATGCCATTGGCTCTTTTATATTGATTTATGTTTTATTTATAAAGGTCACCTGTTTTAGCTATAATAATAAAAGCGTAATATGCTAATTAGACTGGATGTCCTTCCAGACAACCTTCCAGACAAAAGCCAGGGCTGTAAGGGAAGCCCGAGTCCCAGGTGCCAGAGGGAAGCCGGTGCTGGCAGCAGGGGTAGGTAGGCCTACTCTTGCACACATTTCATGCATCGGGCCTCTAGTATGATAATGTATTTGTAAGTCTAAGCAGATATCATGGAATAGAAAATGTTTTTTGTTTTTTTTAAAATATATTTTATTGATTTTTCACAGAGAGGAAGGGAGAGAGACAAAGAGTCAGAAACATCGACGAGGGAGAAACATCGATCAGCCGCCTCCTACACATCCCCCGCTGGGGATGTGCCCGCAACCCAGGTACATGCCCTTGACCGGAATCGAACCTGGGACCCTCCAGTCCGCAGGCCGACGCTCTATCCACTGAGCCAAACCGGTTTCGGCTAGAAAATGTTTTATAATAAAATATTTTGGCAAACAGCAACCTTTTCTAGAAATCATCTTTTACTATAATTTGCCTGCATTATAAATATGGATTTTTGTTTTTTCATATCTTTTTTATTAGTAAGCATATTAAATGATTTGGGAGGGGACTCAAACTCTTCAGGAAATAATTTGGAATAACTGAAACCAAGAAAGCTATCTCCAGAATTGCTGGCAGTTCTAAAATGGGTCAGGGAAAATCAAAGTAATAGATGGGAGAAAATCTCAAATTTAGCCACTGATACAACTTTTTAAAAAATGTAGTTCTTGTTTTTTATCATTTTAGTCACTAAAACAGATGGTAGCAGGTCCATCGGGATATTTCTTTTATGTATTTAAAAACTTTACTTTGCTATATTGAATTTTATTCATTTTGGAATTTTATTCATTCTCATTAGGAGAGTTTACTTCTTTATGAAAGAGATTATTTAAAATTGAATATGATTGATGATCTTAGTTTCTAGTTTTCTTAGTATGGGTAGCCTCTCTTCTAATGCTCCTTGCATACTCAGTGATTTTATGAGTTTTAGAGAAAAATGCAAGTCGGGCTGAATATTAACATAGTATAATAAATAAAATTTTATTACTTTGCAGAATATTTTGTCTATGTATCTCATACAACCACATCACAGGTTCCAGTTTGGATAAAAACAGATAAATTTAAAGATAGTACAACATTCCTCTTTATGGCATTCTAGTGAGAGCTGAATTTGGTATAGGATAGTTCTTGGAATGGTTGGAATTTAGGTTATTTTAGATTCTCTCTGTGGGAAATTCAATTAAAGTATTTATTAAGTGGTTGTAGTGAATTGAATGCTTGTCATGGGGACATAAATGCTATAAAATGTGACTTATTTATAAGGTAGTTATGTTGAGCAGTTAAGGCATCTGGCATGATATATTTAATGCAAGATAATAGATGATTATGAGGCTAGATTAGTCTGTATGAAGTAATGCTGGTTTTGGGAGGAGAGCATTTTTATTTTTAAAAAATCTGTATTGTTGAAAGTATTGCATTTGCCCCCTCTTTGCCCCGTTGACTCCCTCTAGTCCACACCTCCCTTCCACCCCAGATCTGTGTCCATGGGTTATGCATATATGCATACATGTTCTTTGTTGATCACTTCCCACCCACTCTCCCTCCCTACCTTCCCTCTGAGATGCCACAGTCTGTTCTATGCTTCTGTGTCTCTGGATCTATTTTGTTCATCAGTTTATTTTGTTCATTAGATTCCACATATGGGTGAGATCATGTGATACTTGTCTTTCTCTGACTGGCTTATTTCGCTTAGCACAGTGGTCGGCAAACTGCAGCTCGAGAGCCACATGCGCCTCTTTGCCCCCTTGAGTGTGGCTCTTCCACAAAATACCACATGTGGGTGCGCATGTACAGTGCGATTGAAACTTCGTGGCCCATGCCATGACTTTGGTTAATAAAATTATATATTAGCATATATAATTTGTTTCAAGTGTACAATTCTATAATACACTATCAGTTTATTGTATTGTGTGCTCACCACCCAAAGTTATCCATTTATCTCCCCTTTATCCTCTTCTACCTCCCATCACCCCCCTTTCTTTCTGATAATCAACATACTGTTGCCTGAGACTATGAGTATTTAAAAATTTTTTTTTCCTTAATCCCTTCACCTTTTTCTCTGACAGCTGTCAGTCTGTTCTCTGTATCTATGAGTCTGTTTCTATTTTGTTCATTTATTTTATTCATTAGATTATACACACAAGTGAAATCCTATGGTATTTGTCTTTCTCTGACTGGCTTATTTCACTTAGCATAATACTCTCCAAGTCTATCCATGCTGTGGAAAAAAGTAAGATTTCCTTCTTTTTATACTCAAGTAGTATGGCCAATAGACATATGAAAAGATGCTCAACATCCTTAATTATCAGAGAAGTGCAAATTAAAACCACAATGAGATACCTCCCAACAACTGGTGGGACCTTTCAGTCCGTAGGCCGACGCTCTATCCACTGAGCCAAACCGGTTTCGGCTATTTTTTTCTTTATTGATTAAGGTTGACAGTTTCTAATAAAGTTAAAAATATTTAATAAGTATATTTTTAACTTTATTAGAAACTGTCAACTTTTCTTTCAGAGTGGCTGTATAATCTATATTTCTAATAGCAACCTATATGAGTTCCAGTTATTCCACAACTCTGATATTATCAATATTTTAAATGTAGCTATTCTAATAGGTATGTAGTAATGGCTAATCATGGTTTTAAAGTGAATTTCTCTGCTGACTAATGCTATTAAACATCTTTTCGTGTGCATAGTTGGCCATCATTACATCCTCTTTGTGCGGTGTCTATTGCCCAGCTTTCAGTTGCGTTGTTTTTGTTTTGTTGGGTTCTGAGATTTTGTTATATATTCATATACAAATCTTTTTTCAGGTATGCGATTTGCAAATAGTTTCCTCTGTCTTGAGCTTGTCTTTTCATTCTTGTAACAGAATCTTTCAAAGAGTGGAAATGTTTAAGTCAAAGTTATCAATTTTTGTTTTTGGATTGTACTAAGATAGATAGATTTAAAAAAAGGTTTCTATTTTATAAAAGTAGTGAGAAGTAAGTTAGTGATAGGAATGTTCTCATAAAGTTGACTTAAAAAATCCTCACCTGAGGATGTGTGTGTGTGTGTGTGTGTGTGTGTGTGTGTTTATTTATTTTTTTATTCATTTTAGAGAAAGAGAAATGGAGAGAAAGAGAAATATCGATGTGAGAGAGAAACATCGATTGGATTGATGGATTGTTTCTGGTATGCACGTTGACTGGGTATTGAACCTGAAACCTACATATTATGTACCCTGAATGGGAATCAAACTAGCCACCCTTCTGTGTAGGGGATGACACCCAGCCTACTGAGCTACACTGGCCAGAGTTGCTGTTTGTTGATTTATTGATGGTAGCCATTCTGACAGGTGTGAGGTGGTTTTAATTTGCATTTCTCTGATGATTAGTGACATTGAGCAACTTTCATATGTCTGTTGGTTCTCTTTGGAGAAATGTGTATTTAGGTCCTTTGCCCATTTTCAAATTCGATTTTTTGGTGTTGAGTTTTATAAGTTCCTTGTAAAATTTGGATAGTAACCCCTTATCAGATGTATCATTGGTGAATATATTCTCCCATATAGTGGGTTGTCTTTTCATTTTGTTGATGGTCTCCTTTGCTGTACAAAAACTTTTTAGTTTGGTGTAGTCCTACTTGTTTATTTTTTCTTTCATTTCTCTTGCCTGAGGCAATATATCAGAAGAAATACTGCTGCCAGAAATGTTGGAGATTTTACTGCCTGTGTTTTCTTCTAGGATTTTGATAGTTTTGAGTCTAAAAGTAAGTCATTAATCCATTTTTAGTTTATTCTTGTGTATGTTGTAAGAAGGTGGTCTAGTTTCATTTTCCTGTCCAATTTTCCGAACATCATTTTTTGAATAGACTGTCTTTACCACATTGTATGTCCTTGCCTCCATTGTCAAATATTAATTGACCATAAAAGGCATAGGTTTTTTTCTGAGCTCTCTATTATGTTCCATTGATCTATATGTCTGTTTTGAATCTGAGTTTCTTAAAAGTAGTGATGACGTGCTCTGTCTTTGAATTCAGTGCTGCTAGCACAGGGCCTAGCCTTAGGAAATGTTTGCTGAATTCAATAGGCAGTTCAGATTTGCATTTTATCCAGTTTTTTAATATTGGTGGGAAAAATTCTACATGGTGTAGAGTTTTATTCTCTGTAAACACAGTCACAGAATTACAAAACGGAAATTGGAAGATTTGGATATGAAACATTCCTGCACCTTCTGATTAAAAAGAGGAAAGCCTTTATGGTTTGTTGCACTTTGCAATATTCAAAGTCATGTTTCATTTATAAATTTGTCTCATTTATAAATTGGATGTATTGTTGGTATGATCCTGATTTATGGTTGATATTTTGCTTGGATTTTATTAAAGACTTCATAAAATATAAAAGAGAAGTATAGATTTTATAGCATTAATAGCTGCTCAGCTGTGACCTTGAGTAAAAGACTGGTGGAGAATAACTATTCAGATAGATAATTAAACCAGCTGAGTCAGGAATGGTATTAGAATTTATAATTAATAAGTTTTTTAAATATGTTTTATTGATTTATTTATTTTTTAAAATATATTTTATTGATTTTTTACAGAGAGGAAGGGAGAGGGATAGAGAGTTAGAAACATGGATGAGAGAGAAACATCAATCAGCTGCCTCCTGCACACTCCCTACTGGGGATGTGCCCCCAACCAAGGTACATGCCCTTGACCGGAATCAAACCTGGGACCCTTGAGTCCGCAGGCTGACGCTCTATCCACTGAGCCAAACCGGTTAGGGCTATAATTAATATGTTTTTAAAACTTCTCTGACTTGTTTTTTCCCTGTCTTTAGGATTTTTGTCCCTGAGTCATGGAAGACAGAAGAGCTGAGAAGTCATGTGAACAAGCGTGTGAATCACTCAAGAGGCAGGACTATGAAATGGCCCTCAAGCACTGCACAGAGGCCCTTCTTTCTCTTGGCCAGTACTCCATGGCTGACTTCATAGGGCCGTGTTCACTGGAAATAGAAAGTATCAAAATTGAGAGTCTTCTTTACAGAATTGCCTCATTTTTGCAACTGGTAAGTAAACAGTGTTGATAAGTCAGTGCCAAACCCTGTAAAATGGCCCCTTTCATTGAGTGGGCACTATTGCTGGTCACTCCCTCGACAAGTCACTTCAGTGTGGGCTGAGGAGGTAATTGAGGTGGCTAGTGATTGCTGGGTATCTGTGATGGCAAGCAACTGTATTTTTAAATCTTGAAACTTGTACTTAGCACTTTGGAGTATTCATTCATTTAACAAATATTTATTGAGGACATACTATGTGTTAGACACTGTTCTAAGTGCTTGGTATACATTGGTAAAAAATATAAAGAAAGATCCCTTCTTCATGGTACTTTTTCTAGTAGGGGGACAGACAATACATGCTAGAGACATAACTAAGTAAACACTTTAGATTGTTAGAAAGTAATAGTCTGCATGAAAAATAGTAGAACAGGGCAAGGAATATTGGGGCCACTAGGGTTAGGGATAAGGTTGCAGTTTTTATATTTATTATCGTTTTGTAATCCTCACCTGAGGACATGCTCTCACTGATTTTAGAGGGGAAAGAGAGGAAGGGATAGGGAGAGAGAAACATCGATGTGAAAGAGAAACACCAATTGATTGCCTCCCTCACACACCCCGACCGGGGATTGAACCTGCAACCTGGGTTTATGACCTGACCAGGAATTGTACCCATGACCTTTCAGTGTATAGGAAGACTCTCCAACCATTTGAGCCACACTGGTCAGGGCTAAGGTTGAAGTTTTAAATTGGGTGGTCAGGTAGTGCTCATTAATAAGGTGATATGAAGGAGGTAAGGGAGTGAGCCATATTGGAATCTGGATAAAGATCATTATAGGCAGAGGGACAGTCAGTGCAGAGACCCTGAGGCATAAGCATGTCTGCCATCTTTGAGGAACAGCTAGGAGGCCATTGTGCTGGAGTAAAGTACATTGGGGGAAGGGGGTATGAGGGCTAGATCCTCTGGGACCCTCTAGGATTAGTTTGTATTATATTTGAGATGGGAAGTTATTGTGGGATTTTGATCAGAGGGGTATCTTGATCTGATTTAAAAGGAATTATATCTGGCTTTTGTGTTGAGAGTCTCTATATATAAAAGCCTAAGCGACCGTTATAACTAAAAGACCAGCCGACAAGTTGCTATAATGCGCACTGACCACCAGGGGGCAGATACTCAATGCAGGAGCGTCAGTACTCTTCCACAGCCAACCTCCCACTGTCCCTACCTGCTACCACCCCCCCTCCCCCACATAGGCCTTGATTGGGGGGCCAGATGGCCAACCCCCCGGCGTCTCTCCCCATGACTGGCTGGCCCCCCAGTAGGCCTCTTTTGCCAGCCAGGCCGAGGGACCCCAACCATGCACGAATTTGTGCACCGGGCCTTGAGTCCTATAAAATAAATCAGTAATATGCAAATTGACCAAATGGCAGAATGACCAGTTGCTATGTTGCCCACTGACCACGAGGGGGTAGACTCTCAATGCAGGAGCTGCCCTCTGGTGGTTAGTGTGCTCCCACAGCGGGAGTACTGCTCAGCCAGTGTTGGTGAGCGCAGTGTTGGTGGCCAGAACCTCTCCTGCCTCCGCTGCAGGTGGGCAGTAAGGAGCTAGGGGTCCCGGACTGCGACAGCCCCGGACTGTGAGAGGGATGTCTGACTCCTGGCTTAGGCCCGATCCCCAGGGCCATTCCCGGAAGGGTCCCGGGCTGCAAGAGGGTGCAGGCTGGGCTGAGGGACCCACTAGTGCATGAATGTCGTGCCCTGGGACTCTAGTAGACTATAAAGGGGGAAGAGTAGATGCAGGGATACTGGTTTGGAGGGTATTGGAATAATCCAGGCCAGAGATTACAGTGGCTTAGACCAAAACGGTAGCAGTGGTGATAGTGAGAAGTGATTTGGTTCTGGTTATAATTTGAAACTAGAACCAATAAAATTTCCTAATATATTGAATATCAGGCATACAGAACAGTCACAGATTACTTACCATGACATTTTTTGTCTGAGCAATTGGAAGAATGGATTTTCCTTCAACTGAGATGAAAAGGCTATAGGTGGGGAGCAGGTTCTGTGAGGGAAGAATTCATTGTGAA